CCAGAAACAGTTTCCTGAATGTAGGGCTGAGTCCGTGCCTACTCTTGTGTTCAGAACCCATCAAAGGCCTCTCAGAGCTCACGTGACACCCTGAGTTCCGGCGTGCACTCATGGAGTAGCCAAGCAGAGGCAAGAAGTTCCAGCTGCAACATGGTGCTGGCCCGGGGACGGCCCACAGACACTCCAAGCTACTTCAATGGTATGGTCTGCTTACCCCTTCTAACCAGCCCACTCCTGACAATGGCCAGGGAGGGGTGGAGGGAGAGCTCATTGGCTTCCCCACCACAGAAGGTTTGGGGAGGAAGGTATCTGCCACCCAACCTCACATCTTTACCTGGAAAGTTGGGTTTAGACCCACAAGGTTTTCCAGATAAGGAGTGGAGAACCACTGTCCTGCACTGGCTGCCAATAGGCTTGTAGAAGGCCAACAGTGTGGGGAGGGAAATGGCACCCCTGGGCGGGGGCCAGAAGTTGAGTAGCTAAGTGCCTGCCGATGGGGGAAGAAGGAACAAACCCATGAGCATTTGGTCAAGAAGTCAGCAATGAGTTTCGTTGGCATCTCCCAGAATCTAAAGGTAGAAGATGAGAAGACATATAAATGTCCATTTTCAAGTTTGCTTGCACAGTTATGTTAGAGGTGGGCTTTATTAGTTTATAGGTATTAGCCCTCCCCAGAGCCAGGGTGACTCACTGTCAGGCCCCGTAGCCAAGGCGCTTCAGCTCAGAGACGCTCTCTCGTTGCCTACAGTCTAATTTAAGAACATTGAGAATGGAAGCATGATGAGCTTGCTTCCTGTCTGGACTAAAATTGGGACGGCATGACTCAAAGGAACTAATGCTCAAAATTCATCAGCAGTGACATAGTGTAAGATGAGGGTGGCATTATTTAAGTAAAATGTTTACCAAGTCAAGATGGGTAGCCTAGCTCATCTGCTACATCTTTAGATTTCTCTCCTATAGTAAAGGAAAAGTCTCTGTTGGATCTTGAATTTTCTGCAATTAACTTATTATTTTAAAAAAAATATTTGCCAGGCATGGTGGCACATGCCTTTAATCCCAGCATTCTGGAGGCAGAGGCAGGTGGATCTGTGAGTTCGAGACCAACCTGGTCTACAGAGCAAGTTCCAGGACAGGCTCCAAAGCTACAGAGAAACCCTGTCTCGAAAAAGTAAAATAAAATAGAGGGCTTTACAGAGGAGTTCAGTTAATGTCATTTTTAGGAAGATGAATATTAGCACCATCTTTTTGTTTGTTTGTTTTTCGAGACAGGGTTTCTCTGTGGCTTTGGAAGCTGACCTGGAACTCGCTCTGTAGACCGTGCTGGTCACAGAGATCCACCTGCCTCTGCCTCCCCAGTGCTGGGATTTAAGGCATGGGCCACCACCACCCAGCTAACACCATCTTTTTGTTGTGTTGCTGAGGATTGAACCCAGGGCCAGCCTTTGTGCATGCTGGGCAAGTACTCCACCAATGAGCACACCCCTAATCCTGGGTGTCTTGTTCTAAAAGAGGAAATTAGTCTATGCTATTTTCATTTGTAGAAGATGGCTACATGTTATCACATTTGCCTCAGTTAACTGAACTAAGAAAAAAAAAAGAAGATATCTGGGTGGTGGCGAACGCCTTTAATCCCAGCACTTGGGAGGTAGAACCAGGTGGATCTCTATGAGCTTGAGGCCAGCCTGGTCTACAGAGTGAGTTCCAGGTCAGCCAGGGCTACACAGAGAAACCCTGTCTTGAAAAACTAAACAAGCAAAAGACAGGTGCAGGGTGGGGGGACTTAGATGAAGGATTTGGGAAGAGTAAAAAGACAGACAGGCGATAAACCAGTGACTTGGTGTGGGGGAGGGGCTCTGTCTTCAGTGCCTTTTGCTGTGTATATCCAGAGTAGACTATTACTCCCCCCCCCCAGAGCTGACCTCAGCTCTTAGCAAGGTGCAGGCCAAATTCCAGGCGTTGCTCGTCAGGGAGAGCTGTGTAACATTAGGGCCCCATAACCTAATGTCCTCTCTGCACCTTCACCCCAGCGAGACTGCTCCACTCTGTGTAGGCAGAGTGACTTCACAGAGGCCGCCCCTGCCCACGCTGGGTCCCTGCTCTCTGGGTAACCAGCCACTGCTCTGTCCTCACTGCCCGCCTTTGCCTTCTAGGTGTCAAGGTTCAAATACAGTCTCTCAATGGCGAACACCTGCACATCCGGGAATTCCACCGGGTCAAGGTGGGAGACATTGCAACTGGCATCAGCAGACAGGTACGGATGGACGCGGGTCACACTTAGGAACAGAATTCTCCAGTACGAAGGCTTTCAAATAAGTAGAAATGGTACCCTGGAAGATAGTGGCCCTGGCTTAACTGTCCTCCAGATCCCAGGGCAAGACAGGCAGGGTCTGTTAAGAATCTCTGGACCTACACTTGGGCTAGGACGCCCCAAGTTCTCCAGAGTGAAGGACAGGCAGTGTTCTCCAGGTTGCCTGGGTGTCTGCAGATGTTTGAGCGTGTTTGGGGACCATCAGCTTTACACCCTAACTGGACTCTCACTCCACTGGTTTGCTCTCCCCACAGATCCCAGCCACAGCCTTCAGCTTGGTGACCAAAGACGGACAGCCTGTTCGCTATGACATGGAGGTGCCAGACTCGGGCATCGACCTGCAGTGCACCCTGGCCCCCGACAGCAGCTTTGCGTGGAGCTGGAGGGTCAAGCATGGCCAGCTGGAGAACCGGCCCTAGCCCTGTCTTTCACCAGCAGCCCACCGCCCACAGCAGGCTTCCTTTGTTTCTCAGTTCTCCGTGCTGCCCTGAGATGCTGGCTGAGTCTGCTCAGGGAGTTCTGCCGGGCCCTGGTTCAGCAGGAAGACCACGGCTTGCAGCAGCAATGGGAGCAGAGAAGGCTCCTCCCAGGATTTGTCCCCTGAGTGCTGCTGGCACTCGTGAAGAGACAAGGAGGAAGACAGGTCTCATCCCCCAGGAAGAGAGCCAGTGATCTCCATGATGCTCCAAACACAGTGGCCAGACCCATGCGGGTCCACCGCCACTTGCCAGCAGCTGGGCGCAGCCTCTAGCCTGGGTCAAGAAGAGCAGGCACCTAGGCAGGTGGGAGAACTGGGTCCCCACCCAACTCACAGGGCGAGGCTGCAGGTGTGCCCGCCCAGGGGCTTGTGGGGCCTTTGACCCCGTGTCTGGCCTCCCTGGCCGTTGACTAGTGTGAGTAAAACGGGCAGGAAGGATGCTAGCACCTTGGTAGAATGCAGCACACCTTCAGGTTACTGCAGCCCAGGTCCTGAGTTGAGCTCATTGTTCAACCGAGGACCATAGAAGAGAAGTGATTTTCAGGCCTCGAGTTTGTGGCTGCTGATATCACTCCTCGGAGCATCAAGCCTCACTGAGGCCTACCCTCTGGCTAGCTGGCACTCTAGTCCCTCATCTGTGAAACTGAAGGATGACATGGGACCCACCTCATAGGAATGGACTGCAAATGACAGAGTCTAAAGAAAGCCACAGATGCAGGGCTAGCTGCCCACCAAGACAGAGTCAGTATCCAGCATATCAGCGTCATGGTGGCAAGACACTGCCAGCAGCACTTTGCACTCTGACGACCTCAAAGCACTTTTCTGGCTGCCTTCCAGCAGAGCATTGGCTCTGCATGGGCATGGCAGGCCAGGGGATGGGAAGGGACTGACTTGGCCCATCATCCACACAGGCTTGACCGCCTCAAGCCGCCTTCAGATTTTAGATGAGCATACATCCACATTGCCCTAGTCAGGCTTTTCCTGGCAGGGCTTGGAGTAGCTGCTTATGACTAATGTAGCATTAAGTTAACTGTGAATCATTGTGGTAAGGGGCACAGAGACCCCCTCCTCTGGAGAAGCTCGTCACCCCACGCCCAGCCAGCCAGGATAGCTTCTGTCCAGCTATTTCCAATGAGCTCGGCTGCCCCCGGCCCCAGCACACAAGCTGCAGCCACGGTGTTGCATTTGGGGTGTGTGTGAGCTCTGTAAGCAATAAAATTTTGGGTGATGATTGGGTGTTTGTAGGCTGTGGTGTCTCTTTTGCCTGCCTGCTTGCTGTACTCCACAACCCTGACAGCTGCTGGGGTAAATTCCTTCAAGTCTCCCATTTTGTTGGGGACAAGAACTGGCATCAGCTCTTGAGGTAAGCTGCTTGTCCTACCACTCTCTATCTGCCCATGTCTATTAACTAGCCAAACTCCTGAGCTGAGGGGAGAGAGTGAAGAGGCCAGGAGCACCAGAGGGGGAGGGGCTTCCATGTGGCAGGACTACCTACTCACCCTCTCCTGTCCCTGTGGTCTGGCAGCCACAGGACTTGCCTGGTATCAGTTTGAACATAGGCGTGGATGGTGATGACTTTCCCAGCACAGGATCCTCAGTCATGGAGCGGAGGGTGGATCATGGACGGAGGTACATTGTACAATCCAGCTCCAGTCTCTAGAAAGAGCTGACTGTGCTGGTGCACACCTGGAATTCAGCCTTGGGTTACTTGGGACTTTGTCTCAAACTGAAAAACAGTTTTTTAAATAGATTTGAGACAGGGTCTCACTGTCTGTCCTGGAACTCATTATATGGAGCAGGCTGGCCTCAAACTCACAGAGATCCCCCTGCCTCCACAGCCCCTGTGCTGGAATTAAAATTTTATGCTACCATGCCCAGCAATTAAAGCCAGCTAAAATGACTCTGGAGAAAGAGGCTTAACACCAAACCTGACAATCTGATTTTGATCCTCAGGAATTGCATGGTGGAAGGTGACAAAGAATTCCCAAAAGTTGTCTTCTGGCCTCCACACACTGGCCACAGTGTGCAAATGTTCACACACAAATACATGTAATTGTAAAAAACTGTAAGATCACCCAGAAAACTGCACACACGTACTGCTTAGCTTGAGATTCAGTCGTCCTTGGAGGAATCCTAGAACCTCAAAAACGCAGCGGCTTTGTGGTCAGAAGAGGTTCGGAGCCCTGTCCTTACCCAGGACTGCTGTTTACATACCTGGTCTGCTTCGGAGTGGCCAGCTGCTCTAGGTCTTTGTCTCGGTACCTGGCTGCTTGACCTCCAAGCCTTGTAAGATCCTCAGCTGCTCCCACCCACATCCTTGGCATGGACCTTCAAGTTTTCTGCCAGTCAGTTCCCAAACGTCACAGAAGTCGCAGCATCACAGGCGCCAGCGCCCCCATCATCCCCAGCGGCCCTCCACCTGGCTAACCAAAGAGCGCACTGGAGGCGGAGGGGCAGCAGCCACCAGCCCGCTCCCCGCCTCCCGAACAGAGCCTCCGTCAGCATGGGGGTGACAGGTGGGAGCAGGCGGCGAGTGGTGGGCGGCGCCAGAAATGGCGGGGCGGTGGCGGCGGGAGAAAGGGAAACTGAGCGATGCCCCAGAATTGGCCTGGGGAGTGGAAGGGAAAGTTGACCCCAGCCAAGCGCCTCTGGGTGCCTTTGATTACTGCTGCAGCCCCGTGCTGTGAAAAAAAGGGGGGAGGGGCTGGATCTGTCCGGGTCTTAATGAATTTAGCCCAATGGGATCACATTCACGAGAAGAAGTGCACACATTTGGCAGAGCTAAGGGCTGGGGATTTAATGTCTTTGCAAATCCACCTTGTATGAGACACTGACGAGGACCAGAGACCCAAAGCGAGTAAAGCCGCAACCCCAGAGGGTCTGGGGGAGTCAGCAGGAGACCACGTGCTCGAACGGTGGCCTGGGGCTACCGGAAGAGCAGTGAGATCTAGAAGGCCTCTCAAGAATTGTTGAGGCCTTGCGTTATCACAGTAGTAGCCAAGAGCACTGACAAGTGCCGGTTCGTGATGTTCGTGAAACTTAAGGTCCCTTCCAGGAAAAAATATGTAGTCTCAAGCTTGAAAGCGACATGGTGCAGGGACAATCCTTTGTCCAACTCTATCCCCAGCCCCTAATAGTGGCCAATAGCTGAGGGTGAGCATTTCCTTTTCAGCTCTATCGAAGAAATAAACACCCCTGACTCAAGAGCACTGAAGAGTTTATTCGCTGATTAAAAGCAAAATAAAACAGTGGTCCCCAGGCAAGTCTCAGAGCAGCTGCAAGACTAACTTTTCTCAATAATAACAATAACAATAATAATATTTATAAAATAAATTCTAGGTTAAAAGCTAATCAGAATTTTAAAACCAACCATTATTAGTGATTCTGCTGCCAGTATGAGTTTATTCTTGTAAGTTACTGGGGTTTCCCTGTTAAAAGTTTGTGAGCTGGGCAGTGGTGGTTCAGGAAAGATCATGTCTGTGAGTTCAAGGCCAGCCTGGTCTACAGAGTGAGTTCCAGGATGGCCAAGGCTGCACAGAGAAACCCTGTCTGAAAAAAGATAGATAGATAGATAGATAGATAGATAGATAGATAGATAGATAGATAGATACCAAATAAACAAATAAAAATAAAGTGTTTGTGAGACAGATTGGTAGCATGGTGGTTAAAATCCTCGCTGTGCAAGCATGAGGACCAGGGTTCAGATCCCTGGAACCCACGTAAATCCCAAGTGGATGAGATATCCAGCCTGTAGTCCCAGCTTCTGTAGGTGGAGACAGGAGATGTCCAGAGCTGACCCACTGTCGTGTCTGTGAGCTCTGGGTTTCTGAGTTTCTGGGTTTCATGCAGAGACCCTGCCTCGAAGAAGAATGAGGCAGAAGAGCACAATTCCTAATTCCGAAAGTCAACCTCTAGCTTACACACACACACACAAACACACACACACACACAAATGAAAAACAAATTTGTGAATCAGTTGTACCTGATGTAAACTATGGCATCAGTGAGGGTTGCTCCACAGCTGTCTGCCCAGTATTCAGAGAACTGTTCCAAGCCAATGAGACCCTTCAGCTAAGGGGAATTTTTACTTTTTTTCTTCTACAACTTCTTTCTTCTCTCTAGGTCTCCCTTGTAGATTTCATAAACAGATGTGGGTGGAGAAGATAGCTGTCAATGTCTTGCAAACATGAGGACCTGAGTTCAATCCCCAGAACCCATGTAAAACAGACATAGTGGTAGTGTCTATAATCTCAATGCTAAGAAGGCATAAGGAGGATCCCTGAGACCCCTGGCTGGCCTGAGTGGCCAGTGAGAGAGCCTGCTTCAGACAATGACATAGAAGGCTCCTGAGGAGGACACACAAGGCTGTCCTCTGGCCTCCGCATGCACATGTGTGCACATGCATAAACACACATGCACACATATGGGGGGAGAGACTCCCTATTGCTTCTCTTCTCTCACTATAGCTTGATATTTGGGGAATGTTTCTCCCTGGAAATACTCTTTCTTATTTTCCAATGTTATTTGCCAGAAAGCTTTCTCCTTCTTTAATTCTTTTTCATAGCATCCTGTTAATTTTAGTGTCATCCTTGAGTCTCTGAAAATGATCAGTTTCTCTTAAGTACTCTTCTGTTTCTCAAATTACCTTTGGTGTCCTTGGATCCCCTTTTCATCTGCTTATTGACAGTTTTGGTAAATATGTGGTGGCCCTAGGTTTCCCCTATTCAAGAATGAAAGCAATGGTGGCACACGCTTTTAATCCCAGGACTAGGTAGGCAGAAGCAGGTGGATCTCTGAGTTTGAGGCCAGCCTGGTCTACAAAGCGAGTTCCAGGACAATCAGGACTGTTATACAAAGAAATCCTGTCTCGGAAAAAAAGAGGTGCTATTTTAAAAGCTCATTGGGACCCCTTCAACTGTAGGTCTTCTTTCCTAGTCAGTGTCACTTAAGGGTGGTAAGACGGGAACCAGACACACCTGTGGGGACATCAGCATCATCTGACGCTTTACCCAGTGGGGAAAGAGCATCTTCAGCCCAGACTCCCCCCTTCATTCCTGGAATCTCTGAGCTCCCCTCCCCACTTGTGTAATCTTTGATCTTCCTTCTCAGTTTCTGCTTCCACTCCATCAGACAGCATCCCTAGTCTTCTGCCTGCCACAGTCAGAAGCATAAAGAGCTCTCTGGTGTGCTGTTTACTGGCTCAGTTATCATCACAAAGTCATATTCATAATCTGTGTGTGTGCATCTGTCTGTCTGTCTGTCTCTCTGGATTAAATATAGAGTCTCCCAAGTGCTCCCAAGATGCTGTACCTCTGAGCACTATCCCAGCTCTTTCTCATTTCTACGTTCCATTTTGAACACCTAGTCATGAGGAGGGAATGATATCACACTGTTTAGGGTTCTCTCTAATTGATATATTATCCTATTACCATTTGAAAGTAGACTTGTGATAAGTTAAAGTTGCATAGTCTAGTCTTAAAGCAACTAAAATAACAAGACAGAGCCATAGCTTTGAAAATCCAATATAATCATACAGATACATAATCTAAAGGGAGGGCATTAAAAAAAAGCAGAGTGATACATGGAAAGCAAATAACAGAAGAATCCATTTAAACACAAAGGGCAGCTGTCACATAGCTCCCTTCTAAAGCAAGTGTTTAGCATGGACAAGAGCATTGTCCTGCGTTCAGTCTCCAGCACTGCCTCCCCCACCGCCACACACACACACACACACACACACACACACACACACACACACACAGAGACATACACACACTCTCACACACACACACACTCTCTCACACACACACACAGACACACACACTCTCACACATACACACACACACTCTCTCTCTCTCTCACACACACACACACACACACACACACACACACAAAGTCACTTTAAACAGTAGAGATTACCTAAGTAGACAGAAAAAGTGATGCTTGATCTGGGGATATAGCTGCTTTGACAGAGTGCTTGCTGGGATGCACAGGCTCTGAATTCAATCCACACTACCAGGAAAAAAGAGCAGATAAAACAGGACTCAACTATATGCTGCCCATTAAAATTCACTTTAAATATAAAAATACAAAGATTAAAAGTGATAGCTCGTGCTAACACTAATCCCCAGTACCACAAAAGTGAGACTACAAAAAGCTAAAAAACCTTTATCAATATCAAATGACAGAGATAAAAGATCATTTCACAGTGATCAAAAGGTTACTTCATCGAGGGTTAGGGAAAGTAGTAAGTAGAGGTGCTGGCCAGCAAGCCTGATGACCTGAGTTCCATCCCTTGGGAAAATTGACTCCTACAAATTGTCTTATGACCTCCATATGCATGCACACGCATGCACACACATGTGCGCCCACACACAGAGCATAATAATTAACAAATAAATGTTAATGTTTTAATTATAAAAGGAAATGCTTTTTTAAAAGTTAGGAAGAGTAAAGCCAGGCATGGTAATATATACCTGTAATCCCTGTACTCACAAGGCAGAGATAGGAGGATTGAAAGTTTGAGGACAGCCTGGGTGACACAGTAACTTCCGGGCTAGCCTAAGCTGCATAGTAGGACCTTGTCTCAAGAAACTGTGCTAACAGGGGTTGGAGTGTAGCCCAGTAGGTTGAGTCCCATCACCACTTCAGTCAGGTGTGGTAGCACCTGCCTGTATCCCAGCAATTCTCTGTTAGATAGAAGCAGAGATCAGAAATTTCAGGTCGCCCTAAGTACACAGCATGTTCAAAGTTAGCTAAGAAGCATTAAACTTTCTCTCAATAAGTAAATAAATAAACAAAGAATAAATAAATTATATACATAAAGAAAACCAAAATAACAGCAATGCTATTGTCGTTTTAAAAGGAATACCTAGGGCTAGAAAATAAAATTTTTGCCTAGCATATGCAAGGTTCTGAATTCTATCCCCAGGACTACAAAACAAAAGAGCGAATAACTATCCTAAAGGATTGTGTCCCTAACATCAGAGCTTCAAAGTATGGGGGGGGGGGGAAACTAGTATAATGTCCAAGTGTGGCCTACAGTCCCAGCCCTCAGGGGCAGAGACAAGAAGATCAGGAGTTCAAAGACAGCTTTGGTCACATAGGGAGTTTGAACCCAGCCTGGGCTATATTAGATGCTGTCAGAGTCAGGAAAGAGAAGGAGGGGAGGGGCTAGAGAGGCAGTTCTGCAGTTAAGAGCACTTGCTACTCTTGTAGAAGATCCAAGTTCACATCCTAGCATCTAGGTCAGGAAGCTCACAACCACCTACAACTCCAGCTCTAAAAGAATCCAGTGTGCCCTCTTCTGGCCTCCACTGGCATCTGCACTCACATGCACATACCTGTATATAGCCACACATGCATACACAAAGTTAAAAAATAATTTTTAAAATAAATATTTAGCCAGATGATGTTGTGCACCTCTTTAATCCCAGCACTTGGGAGGCAGAGGCAGATGGATCTCTGTGAGTTCAAGGCCAGCCTGGTCTACAGAGCAAGTTCCAGGACAGCAAGGGCTTGCTACACAGAGAAACCCTGTCTCCAAAAACAAATCATAAATAAATATGCAAAGAGAGAGAAAGGAAATGTGAAAGTAAAGGTGCTTGAGTTAGGTAGAGAAGGATAAGATTGTGTAATGGGGGTAAATATCAAAATACATTAGATACATGTATGAAATCGTTAAAACTTACTTAAGAGGAAAACTGATGTAACTTCCAAGGAGAAGAAGTGGGACCTGCCATCATAACTGACGACTTCAGCACTGCTCTCAGGAACAGAAAGGACGAGTAGACACGAAGTCAATAGAATTTAAGGACTTGAATGGCTCCACTTGATAACTGACATTTGCAGACGCTCCACTCCACAGCAGAAAACACATTCTTCTTTGAAAATGATCTTCACACTGGGTGTGGTGGCACATGCCTTTAATGCCACCACTCAGGAGGCAGAGGCAGGAAGATCTCTTAGCTCAAAACCAGCCTGGTCTACAGAGCTAGTTCCAAAACAGTTAGGGATACACAGAGAAACCCTGTCTCAGAAAGAAAACAGATCTACAAAAAAGATCATGTTCTGGACAAAAAGTCTCGATAAGCCAAGCATGGTGGCACACGCCTTTAATTCCCGCACTCGGAGAGCAGAAGCAGGTGGATCTGAGTTCAAGGCCAGCTTGATCTACATAGAAAGTTCCATGCCAGCCAAGGCTACATAAAGAGACCCTGTTCTCAAGTAACAACTGGAGGCCTACAAGATGGCTCTGCAGTTAAGAGCACATACTGGTCTCTTACTGAAGACCTGAGTTCAATTCCCAACACTCACTTTGGGCCACTCACAACTTTATGTAACTTCACTTCCAGGTGGATCCGTTGCCTGGGGCTGGAGATGGCTCAGTGGTTAAGAGCACATACTGCTCTTGCAGAGGACCCTGGTTCAATTCCCAGCACCCCCATCTGTTGGCTCACAACCTCTTATATATAAATCCAGCTCCCAGGGCTCACACACCTCTGGCCTCTCAGTGCATCTGCACTCATGTGGCGCACACACACACATAATTACTAAAATAATAAGATATTTTAAGTCTTTTAAAACACAATTGGACAGGTGGCTCAGCAGTTAAGAGTGCTGGCTGCTCTCTCAGAAGACTGGGTTCAATTCCCACCACCCACATGGCAGCTCACAACTATCTGTAACTCCAGTTCCCAGGGATCTGACATCTTCACACCAACACACATAAAATAAAGGTTAAAATAACTTATTTCAAAAAATTGAACAGGCATAGTGGTGCATACATATAATTGCAATATTCGTGAGGCTGAGGCAGGCTGATTTCTCTGAGTTTGAGGACAGCCTGGTCTACAGAGAACCTGTCTCAAAGTGATGAAGATGCTGCTGCTAATAATAGGAGGCCAGGTGGTGGTGAACACCTGTAATCCCAGCATTCGGGAGACAGAGGAAAGGAAATTGTTGTAAGTTCAAGGCCAGCCCTGGTCTACATTGTGAGACCCTGTCCTAAAGTGATAATAACAGTAATAGTAATAATAATAATTATTATTATTTCTTAAAATCAATTGAGCAAATTTTGAAAGGAAACTTCAGTCTGATAAAAAGGCATATATGAAGAAACCACCATAAGCACGATAAAGATGGAATACCAAATGTTCCCCACGAGAACATGGAAATGAAGCAAAGCTGTGTGCCCTCGCTATGTAGTGATCATTCCCAGTGCAAAAAGGGAAGAAAGGAAAAGGAGACACAACACATGGAAGGAAGAAACAAAGTTGTCTTGATTTACACGCATTCTCTTTGATGTACAAATCCCATGGGCTCTCTTTAAAAGCTATCAGAACTGGTGGGCCTTTGGTGCACCTTTAGGACTTGAGATGATATTTCTAGAATATTAGAAGTAACTGGATGTTGGAAATACCTCATCTGTCACAGACTGCCTCTTGACTTTCTAACAGAGCACACCTAAGGCAGGCACAGAAATCCCAAATTGAGTCAACATCGGACTTTGTCTCCCAGACTTCAGTGCTGCTATGAGGCTTAAAAAATTGTAATTTCTGCTGGGCGTTGGTGGTGCACGCCTTTAATCCCAGCACTCGGGAGGCAGAGGCAGGCGGATCTCTGTGAGTTCGAGGCCAGGCTGGACTGACAGCCTCCAAAACAGAGAAACCCTGTCTCGTAAAACCAAAAAAAAAAAAATTGTAATTTCCCTTCTGTCCATACCCAGTTGCAGTTTATAGAAGGATTGAAGTTGTGTAATGATCAGATGTCCAGAAAAGTTGCAAAGGGACCAAGGAAGGCTCTGTGGTTGGGCAGGAAACAGTCCTGCTCAAGGTCGAACAGAGCTGAAGCTGAAGAAGGTGGGGGAGGAAGAAAGCAGAGGAGCTTGTGCATCAAGGAGGCAGGGCTGGCCTGCAAGTTCCTGGGCATGGTGCTCCTCTCAGAGCCTCACCACACAGCTGACCCATGATCCCCAGGTCAGGCTGAAGCACAGATGTGTCTAAATCCCAATGCCTAGGACCAGCCAAGGACAATCCTTCCATCCCTGGGAAGAAGCCACCACACACTCTCTCGCTTCTGATACAATCCTGGGAGCAATCCTTAGCCAGAAAGTAAGGTTAACATTTCCTGCTCCGCCCCAGGCTCCTGGGAACCCGCTTTGCATAATGCATGGAAGCCATGATCCCTCCCCATCAATGCTGGTCGATACCAGGGAAGCAAGAGGCTGAGGCTGCCTGGTGCCCCACTTGCAGAAAGTGATGGGCAGCTTCGGTATTAAAGGACAAAAGCCGACTGGCTATCTCCTGGCTCCGAGATGCCCCTAGGACTTCTAAGGATTGCTTCGAGTTCACCACACGACCTCAGGTCAAGCACTCCGGATATAGGCCTTGGTCTGGGTCAGTGATGGGTGACCCAAAAGAGCTTGGGAAGCAGCAGTGATGAAGAGTGGGGAGGAGAAGCTCTTCAGGGGTGTAATGGGCTCCTGTGGGGAACAGCAGAGCAGAAAATGGAGCTAATTCTGCAGCCTGAATTCAAGTCCTTGACTCAGCAACCACCAGCTATGGGAAGCCTGGGCAATGAGCATCCTCCGATGCTTTCTGCTGAGACGACGAGATGGAGTACTGTGGGCGTTCATGCTTGTGCAGGCAAGAGATAGGTTCAAGAGTTGGGACAAGGCCAAGACGGCCAGTGGAAGGTAGCAGACACGGAAGACAGGACTATTGACCCTGGCAGGGGCATAATGAGGGCGAGGGTAAGATGGGAGAGAGAATGTCAGGAGGGCTGGAGGTGGGGACAGAAGAAGTCAGCACCAGTTCGGGGCCTGCCCCTCACCCTGATGTTCCCTGTCCTTCCCTTTTTCTCGGGGCCAGGTACCAGTGCCTTCCCCTGCTGTGGCAAGAATTCTGTGGATATCGTGGAAAGAACGTGAGGACCACTCCCACCCCCCAACCAGCACAGTCCCTTCCCCCCACAAACCCCAGGCTCTCAGCCCTTCCCCCAACACGGTACACTGCCATCCAACTAGGATCTCCCCTCCTTTAGCTCCTTTCCAGATCTCAGGAGTAGTGCCCAGGCCAGAGAGCTGTCCAAGGTAGGGAAAGACAGGAGCGTGCAGGAGGGAACAGTTCAAGGTTGTAGAGCAGCTAGGAGTAGGAGCTGAGACGTGAAGGGGTCCTGCACTTCCCCTAGTATCCAGGGCTTCTCAGATCTACGCCCCGGGACTGTGGCAGGTGGGTGATGGGCCTACTCTAGGCTCTCCCTGTGAAGGAGGCCATTTTCTGAGCATCATGGCTCACCTGTGGCACTTAAAAATGAAGATTCCCAGCCTGGTCTATATAGTGAATCCCAGCACAGCCAATGCTACACAGAGAAATCCTGTCTCAAGACCACCCCTACCAAAAAATAGAATGAAGTTTCTCAGGCCCCTCCTCCAACTAAATGGAGTGGGAGAGTTGACTGGCAAGCTCTCCAGAGTTTCTGAAGCTTAGAGAGTCTTACGAATACCATAACCAGCTTAGAGGGTAAAGTGTTCAGTGCGCAAGTATGAGGGCCTGGGTTCAGACATCCCACAACCAGGTAAAAAGCTGAATATGCTAACACTGCACTCCCACAGCTTGGACAGAGAAGCAGGAGGATCCCAGGAGCTCACCAGCCAGTCACTCTAGTAAATCAGTGAGCTCCATGTCCAGAGAGAGACTCAGTGAGCTCCATGTCCAGAGAGAGACTCAGTGAGCTCCATGTCCAGAGAGAGACCCTGTCTCCAAAAAGTGAGGTGGAGAATAAGGTAGACACGTAAGACCAGCCTCTAGTTTCCACATTTGTATTCCTGTGCACGCACACATGCACACGCGTGCACGCTCACACACACACACACACACACACACACACACACACACACACACACTAGGGCTCCTAATGGAGCAGGGCCAGTGGGGAGTAGAGCTCGGGTCTTTTTGCCCACCCCTGTACAAGGTCAGAACTCTGAGGGCCCTAGAGATCGATACCTCTGATGACCCTGCCCATGCATCTTTGTCACCCGTTTTGATTCCTTATGCCTCAGGAATGACTACCACCAGCAGCCCCAAGCCCATAAAGACAAGGAGGATGAAGAGGAGGTGAGCAGGCGAGAGGGTAGGACCTTTATGCTTGGCAACCCTGGGACTGTAGTACCAGGCCACACCCACCTTCACCACCTGCCTGCACTTCCTTCTCTGCCCCAGGAAGGTCTCTGAGATAAGGGGTGGGTGGTGTGCCACACAGACGCAGGACAGAGGCTTGGTGTGTCAGGGGAGTCCTGGGGGGACGTGTCCAGCTCCTGTTGCCTCAGATTTCATTTAAAACCTTTCAGCCTGAAGCAGACTTGCCCCAGCTGGAGCCCCTACCCAAAGTGCAGCCGGACCCAGGCCCAGTGCCACAGCTGGAGGAGATGGCACCAACGGTGCCCTCTCAATCCACACCGGAGGCTGAAGGGGACTGCCTCACTGACAGTCCGGAGCAGCAGGGCTACAGGATGAAACCCCTCAAGCCCCGTGAGGAAGAGCTGCTGTGCAGGTCATGGAGCTTCAAAGCAAACTCAAACAACAAGAAAGAGGAACGGGTGTGCACCGTCACCCATTTCCGCTCCATCCCGGTGCAGACCTCCAAACACCTCTTCTGGTCCAACAAGCTCATCCAGGCATCAGAGCACAGCCTCCAGCAGGCCTTAGAGAAGCGCTGCAAGAGCCCCCAGGAAAAGAAGTGTGTCTCCATTTCCCAGGTTCTCACAGACTGTGCCCCAGGGCCACCCAGCCCCCACATGTCTTGCACCAGCCTGCCCACAGCCATCGACCTGGCAGATCTGATCAACTTCGCATCTTCCCTGGCTGTAGCCTCCTCCAGCAACATGAACTTGCCTAACTTAGGGAATATGATCAAAGGTACATCTGAGAAGTCCCAGGAGACGTCTATAGAGCTTTGCCAGCCAGGCCAGTCCATCAAGTTTGCCCAGGCTACCCAGATTACCCAGACATCCTTTGAGAAGCAAGAGAAATCACCCAAAGACATGACAAGTCACAAATCTTGGACTCAAGAAACCGAGAACATAGCTTGCTCTTACCTAGATTTTAGCAAGACAGGGCTCAAGAACGCCACCATCCAAGGAGAAGTGCAGTTTGTCCAGGCACCAGTCCCGTCCCCTCAGCTTCAGGGAGCCAAAGAAGAGTGAGTGGTGTTGCCCTGCAGCCTCTGGCTAGCGTGTGGGGATGGGCTCAGTTCTCACATAGCCAGGCGGGGTGTGAACAGTGGAATGGAGGGGGAGGGGCTGAAGCAGGGAACTCGGGGCAAGCTTAGTTGAGGGCCCAACCTCAATGACCTCACAAAGGCTGCTAGAAACAAGATTCCGGTGACCTGAGGTGCAGTAGCAAAGCCAGGGCCGGAGGAGGCCTGGGGACCATGGAGGGTGAGCTCTCCAGGGCTAGGACAGAAACCTTGGTTTAAAATGGGCTGGGCCATGTAGCATCAAGGGAGCATGCTGTCTGCCTGTTGAGAGCATGATAGTTACATTCCTAGGCCACAGGACACTTGCATGAGTGAGCATAAGGGAAGTGGGCTTCAGAGCCCTTGGCCTCTCATGATATGTAGACACAGACAGAATGCCAGCTGCCCCGCAGATGCAGTAGGAGACCCGCCCCCGGGCCCTAATGCCCTAGTGACACTATCTCTTTTGTGTTGCAGCTCGGTGCCGGGAACCAAGAAAGGGAATCCATTATTGCTGAAAATCCATTTTAAGTTGTCATCCCCCTCACCCCCAGAGAAATGACTAGACAAAAACAGTAAAACCTCCAGTGCTGGTCCTGGTGAAGACTTTTCTTTAAGGTGCTGGGATCGAACCCAGGGACCTGAACATATTTAGGCCAGTGTTTTACTACTAGGCTATATACTCAGCCCTTGGATTTTTTAGATAGTGTCTCATTCTGTAGCCCAGACTGGCGTCAAACCTTTGACCTGCCTACCTCAGCCTCTTGAGTGATGGACATTACAAGTATGCACCACCCTGCTTGGGCTCTGGCTCATATTTTGGGACACCAATGCCTCCTAACCACTGAGCACACCTGGCTGCTATATTCTGGAAGCCGTTTTTTAGGGATGATACCTCCCTTTTTCAGTTTCCCTGGAGCCCACCTGTGGCGAGTTCTGGCCAGCTGTCTAGGGTTTGACTAAGCCCCAGAGTGGTTCCATTTCACTGCCCCCTACCAGACCACTAGGCCACCTCAAAGCTCCAACTCAGGCTTCAGTTTTTTAGACCTAAATCTAGGGACATGGGGCATGAGGATGTGGGAGATAGGGCCTCCTGGAGGTGGGGCTGACCAGATGAGAAAGTAAACCCTAAGGGACATCTTGCTGTGGCCAGGGGGAGGCCTAGGGAGGACATTGGGTGAAGACTTGAAGGAGGGAGGAGCTGAGGTTGACAGATCTTTCAGAAGGCCACAGCCCGGAGCCAGAAGTAATTCCAAACATAGGAAGACCCCATGTGTGATGACATACCCAAGATGGCAACCTGGAGGAGTTCCCCCGCGTCACCAGCCCGACACTTGCATAAGGCAGCTTGCCCGCACACAGGAGGCACAATCCACAAAGGCAGGGCACACGAGTGCCCGGTACCAGCCACAGGGGTAAAATGTGCACAGAGGCACAGCACACATTCACTGTGTCTGGGGTCAGGCTCAGAGGCCCAGGAGAAAGAAAGGCAATATGAGGGCTTCTGCTTTTGCCCAAGGTCAGGAAGCTGTGACTTGGGGAAGGGAATTTGGACCTAGAGAAAGAGAAGGGGCCAGCCTGATCCATAGGCAGCTGTGAGTATGAGATGGGGGGGGGGGACAAGACACACATAGCATCTCACTGTGTATAGCCCAAGTTAGCTTCAAAGTTGTGACAATCTCTCTGCCTTGGTCTCTTTAGTGCTGGGTTTACAATCACGACAGCACACCTGGTTTTTGTTTCTGTAAGTCAGAGTTCTTTATGTTGCCATAGCTGAACTGCCTCAGATCCAGAATGGCCCTCTTGCCTCTGCCTCCTGAGTGTGGGGATCACAGGTATAGGCTTACCCGGCCACATAAGCTTCTGTTGTCGTTGGTCATTGTCACTGAGACTGGGTCTCATTATGCAGCCCTGACTGCTTCTTGCCTCTGTCTCCTGGGTGCTAGGATTCAAGGCAGATGCCACCACATGGCTTCCTTTTTAAGACAGGGTACAGCTGTGTAACTCAGACTGGCTTTGAACTCAAAAAACTGCCCACCTTAGTCTTCAGAGTTACTAGGGTTATACAGGAGCATGCCATCACACCCAGCCCTGGTCAGGCTCCCTGCCTAGGGAAAAGCCCATCAGGACCCTAGGAGGAGGCTGAGCAGGGAGAAAACCTAGGGACAGGCAAGCGGCATTAGGAATTGGGAAAGGGAAGGATGGAAATCTAGATGTGAGTGTCTGGCTGGAGCATCATTGGGCTCTAAGAATTTGTCTTTTTAGAGTTTATTGTTCTGGTGGGATCTTAAAAGATAAATTCTATTTTTTAACCAGATGTGGTGGGACACTCCTCTCATCCCAACACTTAGGAGATGGAGGCAGAAGAATCCGAAATTAAAAGTCATTCTTGCACTAGATGTGGTTGGTGGCTACACCTTTAATCCCAGCACTCGGGAGGCAGAGGCAGGTGGATCTCTGTGAGTTTGAGGCCAGCCTGGTCTACAGAGTGAGTTTCAGGACAGTCAAGGCTACACAAAGAAATCCTGCCTCAAAAAAAAAATAACAACAAAAAGTCATTCTCAGCTGAATAGTAAGCTCAAGGACAGCCTGGCCTGTGGTACATAAAATCTTGTCCAAAAGGGAAAAGAAATTGTTGAAAATGGCTTCAGGTGCACTAAACAAGTGACAAGCACAGACAGTTCCTGTGTGGTCCTTCTCTGCCCCAGCCCCTACAGCCTGGGACACAGGGACACCCTGAAACAGTCACCTGGTTACCCACACTGGCTCACCACCATCACCCGAAGCCCATGGAGACATTCGGGTTCACTCCCTCTTGATGTACTTCCTGTGACAAATGTCTGGCATGTGTCCCATTGTAATATCATACAAAATAGTTAGCCCACCCCAAATACCCTCTGCGTTCACTGACTGGTTACTGTTTCCTTCTGCTTTTTCCAGAATGAATTGGAATTGAACCCCGGGAAGCCTTTCAAACAGGTGTCTTTCCCTTAGTAAGCAGTTAACTTCCCTTCACGTCTTTTCTCGCCTGGGCAGTTCATTTCCTTTCTGCACTCAGTACTATTCTGCCATCTAGATAGGCCTGTTCGTTCTTTCACCCACCTACCAAAACAAATCTTGGTGGATCCCACATTTAGGCAGTTAGGAAGTTGCAATAAGTATCAGTGCGTGAATTTTGCGTTTTAAAGTCCTTGGATAAGTGCCAAGGACCATGGTTGCTACTTAATGTACATTGTAAAGGTGTGCTCATAGGCTGGGGAGGTGGTTCAGCTATCAAAGGCTGGGCTCACAACCAAAACCTCAAGATTGGCTCAGATTTGTAAGAAATAGCTGAAGTGGCTTCCAGAGTAACTCACCACTTTGCAGCCCCGGCACAACGTTCCTTGTCTTCATTGTTTGGTGGTGTCGGTGTTTCAAACCCGGGTGTTCTCATAGATCCAGAGTGGTGTGTCATTTTACTGTTCAATTCTCTAGCGACTCAAGATGCTGGAGATCTTATATACTAGCATGTGTGTATCCTTGATTTGTTAAGGAGTCTGCTCACATCTTTTGCCCATTTGAATTGGGTGACTCATTTTCTCGTTGTTGAGTTTTAGAGGTGGTTTGTAATTTTGTGTCTATAAAATTGTCTTCTAATTTTCTTCACTCTGTTGGCAGAATCAAAGGTTTGGGGGTATTTGTTTGTTTGTTTGTTTTAGACAGGTCTCTCTATGTAGAACTGGCTGCCCTGGAACTTGCTATGTAAATCAAATGAGTGCAAGTGTTTTTGGAGACCAGAAGAGAGCATCTGATCCCCTGGAGCTGGAGATACAGGCAGTTGGGAACTGCCCAGTATGAGTGCTGGGAATTGAACTCAGGTCCTATGGGAGAGCAGGAATTGCTAACCACTGAGCCATCTCTCCTGCACAGAGGCAAAAATCTTTGACAAAATATTACTAAGGTGAAGTCAACAATATATAAAAAGAATTGTACTTACCAAACACAAGATAAATATAATAAAATACTTAAATTGTGCAGGGCCTGGAGTCTCACGCCTTTTTAATCCCAGCACTCAGGAGGCAGAGGCAGGTGGATCTCTATGAGTTCAAGGCCAGCCTTGGTCTACACATTGAATTCCAGGACAGGCTCTAAAGCTACACAGCGAAACCCTGTCTCAAAAAACAAAAAACAAAAATCATCATGTGTCATCACACCTGGCCAAAATAATTTTTACTGTTGTTGTTGTTTGTTTTGTTTTGCGGGTTCTTTTGTTTTGAGACAGTGTTTTTCTGTGTTGCCCTGGCTGTCCTGAAACTCACTCTGAAGTCTGGTACTCAAAGAGATCCACCTGCCTCTGTCTCCCGAGAGCTGGGAATAAAGTTGTGTGCCACTACACCTGGTGGCTAAAATAATGGTTAAAAACAAGATTTTTCTATTATGTTCTTGATGAATATTATAGTTTTCTAGAAAAGTCTTTCTGTTTGGGGTACAGGGTAATGGCCTTGCAGGGTGAGTTTAGATATCATAGAGAAGTTAATGGTCCTCCATTAAATGTTTAATTTTTTTTAAAAATCAGTAAATTTATATGGGTCTCCCTCTGCTGTGGAAGGCTGCTAATTATTGGTTTGATTTCCTTAGTAGACACAGGTCTATTCATATTATTTCTTCACATGTAAATTTTGGCAACTTCTGTTTTTCATCTACTTATAGGCATAGTCATTTATAATATTCCTTTATTATGCTTTGAATATCCATGAGATCTATAGTGATGTCCCTTTCACAATACTATTACTCTTCCCCTCCCACCTGTTTTTATTTATGTAGTGACATGCGTGTGCATGTGTGTGCATCTGTGTGTGTGCATGTGTGTGCGTACATGTGTGTGCATGTGTGTGCATGTGTGTGCGTGTGTGTGCATGTGTGTGTGCATGTCCACGCCGGGGAAAGTGCATGGGTGTCAGGACAGTTTGAAGGAGTTGGTTCTCTTCTTCCACGTGAGTCCTGGGGACCTTTGTACTCGGGTCCCCAAACTTGTCAACAAGCAGCTTCACTCACTGAGCCATCTCACCAGCCCCATCTACCTTATTACTCTTTCAAAGAACAAGATTTGGGCATTTATTAGTTTCACTATTGATTTTCTGCTTTGGATCTTAATTTTTGCTCTTGTACTACTTGAGATGAAATTTGCACTTCTTTTTCTATTCTTGGAGTAGAAACTAACTATTGGTGTTAGACTTTTCCTTTTCTGAAACATGCACCTAATACCACAAATGTCTCTGTAAGCAGCTTTTGTTACATCCTACTCTTCTGAGTAAGTTGTTTTCTACTTTTGTTTAGTTTGAGGTTTCTTCTTTGGTACATGCTTTGTTTTGAGACAGGTTCTCATATAGCCCAATCTGATCTCAAACTCACTACAGAGCTGAGGATGACCCTGGACCCCTGACCCTTCTGCTTCTGCTTCACAAGTCCTGGGATTATTGACATACACCACCATGCCTAGCACTGTCTTGTTTTTATAATGTACTTTCTCTCCTCTTGACAAGGTCTTATTATACAGCTCAAGCTAACCTTGAACTCAAAACCCTCTTGTCCCAGACTCCAGAGTTCTGGAATTATGGGTGTGCACCACCATACCTGGCCCCACATGTTGTTTAGAAGTGATTTTTTATTTTTATTTATTTAGTTTTTTGAGACAGTTACTCTGTGTAGCCCTGGAACTCACTCTGTAGACCAGTTTGGCCTCACAGAGATCCACCTGCCTCTGCCTCCCGAGTGCTGGGATTAAAGGTGTGCGCCACCACCACCCAAACTAGATGTGAATAATCTCCAGGTGTTTAAAGATCTTGCAGCTCTCTGCTATGGTTTCTAGTTTCATTCACTAGTGAACTGAGAGTAGACATGGTCTGATGGGTATTATTTGTAAATAGTAAGGTTTCATGGAATGTTTTAAAATGTAGTTAGTGAGTTTCTATTGGACAGGACCCCATGCCCCCCACACCTGGCTTTGGGGTTGTGTGGCCTGCTTTTCCTTGAGGGCCTCTGCCATCCTGGTTCAGCATCCAGAGTGTAATCACAAATCCAGGTGCCTGAAGGGAAGTGGAGACTTGGGAAGACTGAAGCTCGGTTCCAGCAGGAAGTCAGCCTGTGAGGGAGGGTTGGCAGCTCTCCTGACAAAAAACAAAAGTCACCACAGAGGCAGCCTGGGGGCAGCCTCAGAGCCTGTGACTCTGCCTTTCAGGCAGCAGAGGCCAGAAGACCAAGAGATCTCCATCGACATTGAGAAGGTACTGGTGACTGGGGGGGGGGGGGCTTCCTCTTTTTTTTCCTCATCTGAGTTAGAGGTTCATTCCCTGTGCCTGCTACAGAAGCCCCTTCCTATAGAGTTGTAGATTCCAATGGCCCAAGGGTCCTGGGAGGAGGAGGTGGAGCTGCTCACCCAGTCCTAGTCCCCTGTGTCCCCTGGAGTCTACGCCCTCCGGTTAACTGGGCTGTCCTACCTTCTCCCTGTCCCCAAGGCCTCCACAGAAGCCTCGGAGTCTCCTCACACGAGATACACGAGAGGAGCAGGCAGGCAGGGTGCATAAGGGGCGGCTGCGGCTGCAGACAGGCCAGCTGCCCCAGTCAGAGCTGGCAGCAACCATGGCCGCGAAGGAGCAGCAGACCACACTGACAGCAAGGGAATTTAAGGACCCTGAGGCTACCCACTCGTCTTGGTCAGGCCTGGATACCAGTTCTCAGAGGTGAGGGTAGGAACTGGAAGCCAGGTTTGGGGTGCTGGTTTGGGGGCAAGGCCTGCCTGGCCCTGGAGTTTCTCTGCAGCAGGTACTACATGTGCACCTCTCTTGCTGGAGCAGTCTGACCGATGATGGTGGCGTGGTACCTCTGACACCCCGGCAGCTGGCAGGTAAGGACCCTACGTTCAGAAGTAGAGAGGAAACTGGGGGATGCTCAGGAGAATTGCAAGGAGTGGCCTGTCCTGAGGTTAGCATGTTTATGACCCTGGCCACCCTCCCTTCATGCCAGTCTAATTTTTTCTTCTCTGTAGCCCAAGGGTTCACTGATGGGCTCCCAGAAGTGTGTGTGTACTGTGCATCTGTGTGCCTGTGGCTCTGTTTATCTTTGTGCCTGTGTCTATGAAGAATAAGGAAAATAAAACTAAATGTTTTGGTGGATGGTTGGATAAACGTACCTAAATGGATGGGATAGATTTAAAAAAAAAAGAGAGAGAGAGGAATGGACAGAAAAGAAATTCCCAGGGTCTGACATGAGAGGTGGGAAGTAGGAGAGTGGGATAGAAGGTGGTCCTCGATGACAAGGACCCAACAAAAAAGTCATTTTCCACATCAGTAATCTGAGTGCTTGCTCTATGCCACACCCCAGTGGGGCTTCCAAGCAGCCACAGAGCCAGACTCCGCATGTGACCTTAGATGTGGATTTTTTTAATGGTTTTTAATTTTAGTTGTGTGTGGAGGTGTGTGCATTGCTCACAGAGGGTTCTCTGCAAGAGCAGCATGTGCTCTTAACCACTAAACCTAATCTCTAGTCCCACGGGTCAGTTTTTAAAACACTTTTATACTCGTGTGTGTGTGTGTGTGTGTGTGTGTGTGTGTGTGTGTGTGTGTGTGTGTGTGCCCGTGGCTCTCATGTGCAGGACAGAGGACACCTTAGGGAGTCAGTTCTCTTTATCATATGGGTCCTGTGGCTCAAACTCAGGTCATCAGGTGCGGCAGCAAGCACCCTTCCTCACCAAGCCATCTCTCTGACCTTTAGACGTGAATTGTAAATGCTTTTTGTCAGAAAATGTCCACATCTTGTAAGGATGGAATAACTTAAGAGCCAACACACAGCGGTCACTGTGTCACAGCTGTCCATTGTGGCAAACGTTATAATAACGTCCAGACCCCAGTCCCACCCCGCCGGAGTGTCGAGGCAAGGTCACAAGCCCCCCATGTGTAGTTCCCAGCTGCTGACAGTCCCCTCTCATCACCCTCAGCCTTCCAGGATGTCTTCAAACTCTTCAGCTGCAGCCCAACGGGCACCGTGGACATGCAGAGCATGAAAGTCGCGCTGCGCAACGTGGGAATCCATCTGGGCCCACAGGAGATGTGTGAGGCTCTCCGGCTGGCCGACTTGGATGGTGGGTGCCCCACCTCTGCCTTGGTGTCCTCCCGCCCTAGACAATCTCCTGAAGAATGTGGCCATGTCTTGGTCTCCTCCATCTTCCGTGTGGGGAAACCTTGGCCCGGTCCTTCTTTTTTCAAAGTTCCCTCTTCCAGGAGGCACCCTTATCTCCCAGCCTTTGTGCATTGCTAGACTTGCTCCTCATCCCCCAGGGCAAGAGCTGTTTCTCTCCACACTCACGCTAGAACCCTTTGCCTTCTACAGAAGTATGTCGATAATGAAATCTATTTGAAAGAGATGAATGGTTTAGGGGAGGGTTACAATGTTGGAGAAAATCCCAAATAATTCTCAGTGTATATTTAAACCCCTAAGGTATCTACAGGACAAACTTTCCAAAAGGGAGGTACCTACTGCACCCTCTTGTCTTCCCAGGTGATGGAATCGTAAGCTTCAAGGACTTCCTGGGTGTCCTCACTGACAACCAACGCTTGGCTCAGTGCATGAGTGAGGGGTTAAGCTTACGGGCAGGGGTGTGGGGGTCTTGATGAGGACACCCCTCCCCACTCTTGCTTGTGTTTCCTGTACTCAGGTCAAATGAAGAGCAATCGGGTCTATGAGCCCCCCGGGCCTGCAGACCCTGTTCCTTGAGATGCTGTTCAAGTTGCTGAGGCAGGGCTTTGTGCCCTCCAGATCAGGGCAGGAGGTGACAAGGTGGGCACAGCCATCCCCAGCTCCCAGACTCAAGATTCTGAGAACTGAACCCAGCCCTTGCAGGAAGTACCCTGATGCTCCCGCCCCCACCCCACCCCCCCATAGAATGCCCTGAGTTATGTGTCCATTTCCTGGGCCCCAGGTTAGTCAAAGACAAGTAGCTTTTGGTCCTGCTTGGGCTTCTCCACACGTAAGATGGAGGAGACCAAGAGGCGCTGTCCGAGCCTGCTGTCCCACTTTTCTCCTCCAAGCTACTATTCCAAGAAGCAGCGGGCTCTGCGGCTGAGCTTGTGCTCTAAGGGCCGGGCGCGCGGCCAGGGTCGGCCTGCGCGTACACACACGGGTCTCACCTTCTTCTGCCAGGCAGCGCGTCTTGGCGGCCTCTCCAGCTCCCAGCTGTCACGCTCCCTGCACATACTGTACAGAGCAGGTGCGCCCCCAGCCGGCCGCGAGTGGGGGGTTCTGTGGGGCAGGGTGGGACCCCGAGAGGGTTGGAAAGGATGCTCCAGGTCATCCGCACCCTACTCCCGTGGGGCTACTCCCAGTACCATCTCCACCTTTTCCACCTCTGGATCCCTCCCCAGGTGGGCGCAACCCCTACTCTCAGATTCCCAATCTGACCGGGCGCCTGCGACCAGAACGCAGGATCTCGAACCGAGTCCCAGGCCCCGACATTCGCCTTCCCAAGCCCCATCAGCCAGGCCGTCCCAAGCTCCCTCCCAGCCTGGGACCACTCAGCAAAGGTGAGAATCTTCAAGAGCAGGACCAGATCGGCCTAGGAGACTCTAAGGACAGGGCAGATGGGCGGAGGCGGGACAGCAGATGGGAGTGATTGGCAGGCGGCAGAGGCTGACGTAGAGTGGGAACTCAACCAAAAGAAATGGGGACTGCAGGGGCAGTAGGAGATGCACCCACGCACCCGCGCACCCTTGATCTTCCTCAGGTCCCCTCCGCCCTCCCGCCGGGCTAGCAAGCCAGCCACTGGAGCAAATGCGCCCCGCAAAGCTGGCTCCCTCCCCGCCAACTCTAGTGCAGAAGCACCCTTCCTCCCCTTCGCCAGCCTGTCTGCAGAGATGTGCTATGAAGAGCTTGTACAAGTAAAGCGTATGCTGAGTGAAACTGGCTGCGCCTGGTGGGGTCAGGCAAGGCACCGAGCCGACACGCATCTTTTGCAAACATGTTTATTAATCTTGTATAAAAATAAGGTCCAAGGAGAATCCTCCGGACTAGGGCGGCAGCGAGGTACACTTTATAAGTTACAGGCCAGGCTCGCACTCAGGCTAAGTATGGCTATTGGAGGGAGAGGGTGCTGCGAGCTGGTGGGGTGAGGGGTTTCAAGGCTTGTAGTCGGTCAGAGGAGCAGATGCTCGACCCAGCCGAGCTAAGGACTACCTTCCTTGAACTCCAGCCTGCCTACAGCTCTACAAAATCCACCAGCGGAAACCGTGGCTACAGCGAGAGGTCAGCAGTGACCTGCAGTGGGGGTCCCGGGGGTCGCCGGCGAGCACTTCGGCGTCCTGTGTCTGCACGGATATAGGGCTGATTTCGAAGATCTAGAAGCCAAAAGGGACACATTGGCCCAAGCTCCAGGACACAGGCTCACCTTCCTAAGGATTTGATTTTGTGCATGTGGAAGAGGACACTGATTTACCTCAGCCAGAAACACCACCCCCTAAAACATCCCAGCCATGCAGTGGCCCAGAATGGGGAGGCATGTCTGGCCCCCCAAATTCCCAAAGTTGTGCCAGCACTGGAATCACAGGCCAGGCTGTCTAGGTACCTGGGAACTAGAGGGGCATCTCCTCTCCCAGGCTGGCCTCACAGAGGAGCCGGGATGTCCGCTTGCCGGTGCGGGCGGTGAAGGGCACTGTCTTGAGCACTGAGATTTTGGAGATAGAAGGTAGAAAGAGAGAAAACAAAAGAAATACAGAGAAGGTAGCAAAAGGCATGGAGGACAGGCATGGTGGCGCAGGCCTTCAATCCTAGCACTGCAGAGGCAGAGGCAGGAGGATCTCTGTGAATTTGAAGCCAGCCTGGTCTACAGAGCAAGTTCCAGGCAAAAGGGGTTACATGGAGGCAGCAGACCCCTCCGTGTGGAGGGGAGAAACAGAAAGAGAGTGACACAGTAGAGGCTGAAGACGGGACAGATACCTGGCTATGTCTGCGCTCACCTGTGATGATGTCTTCGATGGCCCCATCTCTGTCACTCTCATAGATGAGTGGTTCCTTCTGCTGCTTCCGTTTCAGCTCAGAGATGAGGTCCATCTGTTGTCGCCGGGCCTTGGGTGGAGACTGAGGAGATGAACAACTCTAACTTTAGGATACTTCTCACCCCACCTACTCTAGAACGTCTGTGCAATTCCCCACAGCAAGGATAGGCAGCTAAAGCAGACCTAAGCCCAGTGTCTCCTGAGCTTCTGGGGCACTGCCTTTCCCCTTGGGCAGGATCTGTCTCAACACTGAAGGTGTAGGAGTGAGACAAGAGAGGGAAAGGGACGCTCCACATCCTGTACCCAGCACCAGGTCGGGGACAGCCGCCCACCTTGGGTGCTGGAGGCTCTTCCCTGCCGGAAGTGTCTGCCACGGCTTCCTTCTTCCACTGCTCCACCTCCTGCTCTGCTTTCTGAGGGCACAAGGCAGGCCTTGGTGAGGGCAGCCCTCCCTCCTTCCCTGTCCCCACTCCTCCCTCGGCTGTCAGGGAGAGCCCCACAACCTACACATCAGACCCACCCTGCCCATCAGACACTTGTACCTTGTAGGCCTTGGTGAAGCGGCTGAAGAGGGAAAAGAACATGGAGGGGGACGTGGTCTTGGGATTTTCTCCAAAGTACTCCACTACCGACTCGTAGGCCTCCTGCAAGGACAGCCCATCAGCCCGGCTAGCGTGGGCCCCTTGGAGCCTGACCAAGCTCCAGGCCCCTCAGGGAACCACATCTCTTCTTCCACACAGGGTGGTCCCCCCAGAGTTCTGTCTGTGGCCACACCTCCCCAGGCCCTGGCTCCACACCTCCACCCCAAGGCTTCAGTGCTCCTGCGTCCCCCACCCACCTGAGCTGTCTTGCTGTCTGCCAGCAGCTTGTCCATGGTAGGAGAGTTGGCCCTCAGGAACTCCTTGAGTACCACACAGTCATCCTGCCGCACAAACTCTCGCTGTGTCAGCTCCAGGCCTCGCTGCAGGGAGCGCACATCCCCCAAGACACTATCCAGGGACACTGGAACGGACAGCATTGCATCAGGGGGTCAGGCAGCATGTACACAGTTATACCCTGTAGTATCCCTTCCTAACTCATATCAGTGGCCCAAGACCCCAACACCCTGTACCTGAGCCTGCCTTGTCCAAGAAGTGCAGGTCACTGTGAAAGCCCGTGAGCTGTGGATACTTCTCAGCAATGACCTTCACCAAGTAGTGCAGTAATGTCTGTTTTCGGTCAGTTGACTTCATCTCCAACAACTGGACAAGGATCTGTTATAAGCCATGGGCCACCAGCCAGACCCCAGCCCCCAGGCCAGGAGCCCCTTCTCACCGCATCCAGACTCTGAAGTCGGAAGCCATAGGCTGCTCCGCGTTTACTGCTGTTCATGTAGTTGCCAAAAGCCAGGACAATCTGGGAAAGGCAGAGAAAGATTCAGTAAGATCCAGGCTGGAAAAATCCCTTGAAGAATATGTATTTTGCCAGGCATTGGTGGCGCACGCCTTTAATCCCAAGCACTCGGGAGGCAGAGGCGGGCAGATCTCTGTGAGTTCGAGGCCAGCCTGGTCTACAGAGCGAGTTCCAGGACAGCCTCCGAAACAATACAGAGAAACCCTGTCTCAGAAAAGAAAGAATATGTATTTCCCAGAAGGGAAGAAAGGTGGCAAGAAACCAGCCCACACACTCAGGCCTTCCTGAATAGACCCTGCAGTTCCATGACACATGCAACCTTTATACACATCTCATGTGTACACCATGAGCACACTAACTTTATCTATTATTCCACCCTAAAACTGGCTTGCCAGCATCTCCCTCCTCAAACTCTTGGCGGCCATGTATTGTGGTCTGCAGACATGCCACTGAGTAGGTGCAGTGGCCACACCTCTCACAAAGCAATCCCCAGAGGGACTGCGCCCTGCAGCAGGAGCTCAGGGACACTGTGCAAGCATGACTGATGTTGCTATTGCTCGCACACACCTCCTGTCTTAGATTGTCTTATCAAAGCGTGTATGTGAGAAATGGAAACCTCATCTTTGCTATATCCCAGGTGGATAATGCCTGAGTCTCCCTTTGGATGCTGCTCAGACTAGGCAAGGGTAAGCCCTGCTTCCCTGGTCCCTTGCCCTAGGCTCTCACCTCCAGGATCTGGCGGAGCTTGTCAGAGGACTTGATGGACATTGAGGCTGCAATGATGGCGTTCAGTTGCTAAGCGTGGGGTGAAGATGAGGTAAGCTGAGCTCAGAGAAACTTCCTCCCTATCCCCAGCCCAGGCTCCACCACACCACCCTGCCCGTCCTGCCCACACCGGCATGAGCAGCTGAGCCGTGTCTGGAAAGTTGCCCAGGAAGGTGAGCGTGTTCATGCGCTCTGGCAGTCTCTGGATGCGACTGAAGCGCAGCATGAAGCGGTCCTCCTCTGACAGCTCCTCCAGCGGCCGCTGTTCCTTCTCGAAGCGGGCTATGAGGCTGCGCTCATACTCTGTGGGCAGGAAGCGGGTCAAGAGCTCCAAGAAATCCAGGCTCAGAGTCTGCAGGTCATAGCTGCATGAGAAAACAGAGGGGAGATTGGGCGTCACCCCAGAGAAAAGGGCTGAGTAAACAATCTTCAACATTTAGTATCTGCAGTCAGCCAGCTTTGGAGAATGAGATCGGAGTCAAGGGAAGCTGGGAAGCCTGGGTCCTATCATACAACACTGGCAGATGCTATACATAAATCCTTTGGCCTGGGTGCCCATGCTGGGCAGAAGCAGGAAGCAAGTGGGGAGGTCTCAATCTGGGCATGTACAGTCTCAGTTTTCTTGGCAAGAAAATGAGGACAATGTTCCCGCACCAGGACTGGTGTAAAGTTTCGTGGGTTCTGTCCCACTGCTGGGGTTCTTTTTGGGGGGGGTCAACACAAGGTTTCTCTGTGTAACGATCCAGGCTGTCCTGGAACTCACTTTGTAAACCTGGCTGGCCTGGAACTCACAGAGATCTACCTGCCTCCGCTACTGTTGGGGTATTTTGCTAGGCTCTGCCTGATGACCCTAGCCTAGCGAGGGGGCTAGACCACGACCCAGCACATGTACTCACGTCTCAATGGCCTGGCAGATTCTGTCTGCCCCTAGGTTGCCCTTGCGCAGGGTGATGGCCAAATTCTTGGCCCGGTTGGCCTCAATGAGTGTTGCCTTGGTGGGAGCTTTGTGGGCTGCCTTCCCCTTCAGAGTGTTGAGGTCCAGGCTGGGGCCTTGAGACTTGGTCTTGAACTGCTCCTCAAAGTCATTCATATCTAGCTCCTGAGGATGCAAGGAAGAGACTGCTAGGCTGAGTGGAGCTGAGATCTGCCCACACTCCTGGCTCAATACTGTGCCCAGAGCAAAGGCAGCAAGTATCGCCTGACAGAACACCATTGGGCAGAATACCCAGGAGCTAGCTTGACAAAGCCTTGACAGGAGACACAGGGGAGACACAAGAAAGGCGTGACAGAGAAGAACACAGCACAGAGGACCAAGATTCCCCACCATCAATGTGACGGGAGGGCTGAGCAGCTGGCAGTAAAAGATTATTCCAGGCAGAGAAACAGTGAGAGCTATGGCCCAGGGGCCAGGGAGCCCATTCCAAAGAGAAACGAATCAGAAGGACTCAGGCCTTAGCTATCTGTGGGAAATGGGCAGAAAGGAGAGGCCATACTCTGGGGAGAGAATACTGCAATGGTCAGGATACTGCCTTCTGGATGCACTAATTCAGGGTCCTAAAGGCCATGCCCTGTTCCCCATCCTGAAGGAGATGACCACCCCGATGCCCAGCAAGGCCCTTCAGCCCTCTGCTGCCCACTCACCTGTAACACCTTCTCATCGTTGAGCTCAGTGAAGACCGTGCCTGTGATCTGACTGGGTTTCAGTGCCACCCAGTTCAGCAATGGCATCCGGAATTTGGTCTGGATGGGTTT